TAAGTCTGGCTGGAGGTTTTTTTTGCCAGATGCCCCTGCTCTGGGGATTGGATCATCTGACAATGAGGGCGAGTCATGTGCCTCAAGGGAGAAAAGCCTCAAGGACAGCCACCGTTTCTGCACAAGGAGCACATTTAGCTCACCCAGGAGCATCCCTCTGCGGTGCAGTGTCACCGGTCATACTGGTAGAGGAAGGTTCTCCTCTCCGATCTGCTCTTCATCCTCTGGTGGACTTGGCCATGGAGGGGAAAGAAGAGCTGCTTGAGGTATCTGAAGAAGAAGAGTGGCTGCTTTTCATCGAAGGGTCGGAGGAGTTCAATGTTGAAGATATGGGACTCTTTAAGTCCCCCCCCCCCAAAAAAAAAGAACACACCACACTAGCATTAGTGCATGCTTCTCCCCTGGCTACTCCTGTCCCCACAGTCCTCTGAGACCAGCACACCACAATCCTCCCAAACACATGGTATTCCCAGGCCAGTAATAAATGGGAGCACTCGACTCTCCATCCCACCCCACTTTCTGCAATACATGCCTGATGCCTGCCGTGGAATAGTTTCTCCAAGGTTCCCGATTATCTTTAGATGGCGCGTTGTAACATATGCACCATTCTGGGGCACAGGGACTCCAGATCAAAGCATCTGTCCTCCAGCGCCCTCTGCAACCATCTCCAGAGGCCCCACCCTGCTTTGCTTTCTTCCAAAAGGTGTGCATGGGTGTCCCCATGGGAGGAAGAGGCAGGCAGCTCAGGGAGAAGTGGGGAAGGAAAGGGAGTCACTGCCGGTCAAAAAGACAGCCATGGGGTGTGTGTGGTGAGTAGGACTTTGAGGCAGGAAGTTGTTCCTTCAGGAGGTTGTTCCTATGGGGGCTGTGATCACCTTGAGCAGAAGGGCTAGGGGGGAGGCACAACGGATGGGCACTCATTGCCAAGATAATTCCCTGCTTCCTCTAGCTGTCGAGACCATGAGCGTCCACAATGTGCTTCATTTCTTTTCTCCCTGGTGTGTGCCCCTCACCCATTCCCATCTAGAAGGACCATCAACCAGCAAATCCTCCCCTCCATCTACGACTCTGTGTGGGAGCCGATCGGGACCCAGCATTCCAAGACCCATGACCGTAAGGTTCACTTCATGGCAGACATGTAGAGTGGCCGTCTCCATGGGTAACTCTCCCTCACCATCCACTGGCGGCAGCCGGAGGACCTGAAGACCAACAGCATGTTGGCAACAGGGGTGCAGAGGAATATGCTAGTCCTGCCACCAGGCTACAGGCTGCTGCAGGCATGGAATCTGGAAACTAAGATAACAGGGAGGAACATTGCCAAAGAGTTCCTGGCTGTGTTGGAGGAATGGGCACCACAGGGTCAAGTGTTTGATGGCCTCATGGTCATGGATGCTGGTTGGAACATGTTGGTGCCATTGAACATGGCAGGATTCAAGGGAATTGTTTGCAAGGCATACAAGTTGCATCTGGTTATGCAGGGTGTCATTGGGGTGGGGTGTAAGATTGACCCCGAGTGGAATGCAGAGACATGGAAGATGCATGGACTGTTAGAGAACAGCTGGTACCTAGTCAGTCATTTTTCATGCAGCCTGAAAGCTGTTTCCTGGCTCTGGAGAGGCAGGAAGAACATGCACTCTTCCAGGATCTGCCTACCCACTGGAACGCCACCTACAAGATGATCTCATGTCTTGTGGAGCAGAAGACAGTGCTGGAGGACATCATGTCCACCATGCCCATCCTGCCTGGGGCAAGAGAGGTGGGCATCAGCTGCACTAATTGACTTGCTCTCTACCAAATGCTGGAGGTCCTCAAGCCCTTTAAGGAGATCACCAACGTTATCTGTGCTCATCTTGCAAGCCTGGGGCAAGTCATTCTCCCTCATTCGCGCTCCTGATTGCGCACTGGAGTCCACAGTCGTTTAGGGATCCTCCCTACTTCTCTGGACGAGGGCCTTGGTGTTGAGGTTGCAGGCAGGCATGGGGAGGCGAGGGCATCCACTCTGTGGGGCCACTGTATACAGATTGGTCTGCCTCTGTGATCCATGCATCAAGGCCAGAGCTGGAGGAATGGAGGAATAAGATTTCCATGGAAGTCCACAGGACGCGGGAGACATGGATGTGGAGAACTGGGGACACCAAGATGGGAGGGACAGGAGGGGGAACATCATTCACAGGAACCATGTGCTGGCCTTTTAGTGGATAAGACTCCCCCAGTGATGAGGTAGGTGGTTGCCACTGCTAGGGAGTCCATATGGGCTGTGGAAGAGGACTCTATGGATATTATGTTGTCTAAGTACCTAATGGAGCCCACCCAGCCTCCTAAGTCTGATCCTCTCCAGTTCTGGACACGTAAAAGTGGCATATGGCCAGAGCTGCCAACAGTGGCCATGGACCCCTACCAGTATCCAGAAGGAATGGGTCTTTTCCATCCTCGGCGACATGCTGTGGCCTTGGTGCTCCCAGCTGGACCTGGTCATGTTGGAACAGTCGTCCTTCATCAAGGTCAACATCTGCTTGTTGGCTTGCCTTCTATGGACCTTCCCCAGCAGGGAACGTGGAGCAGCTTGTCTACCTCTCCCCCCCTCCCCACAATGACCACAGAGCTGTCCGCCTCACCTCACACCTCCAGCAGCATGTCCCATCCTGTGCAGGTCTGCCTCTTCCCCTCCGCCGACCACTGAGCAATCCGTCTACCGGCAGCACATTCCGTGATATCTAGAGATCAGAGGAAGGTGTGGCATGATCTGTGGGGTTTGAGGAAAGAGTGTTGTTTACAGCAAAAAACAAGCATGCTTGAGAATGTGTTTGCAGTTTATTTAATGGGGCAGATAATTGGCAACATTCCACACTTTGTGTTGTTTCCTTTATTCCTTCCACAATCGCTTCCTTTTCCTTTTTTTGCTTAGAGTGTGCACAACATTTTCAGGCAGCAGGTTGGGGGGTGTAACATCAGAAGTCTGACAGATGTGCATGTGTTAATAGACGATTCGGGATCCAGAAACTGGGTGGTGAAATCTCTATGGGTTGCTGTGGTTTGCGATAATGTTCAGGGCGGAAGCCTCTTCTATCTCCCAGTGATCTTCATTGCAGTATGCAAAAATAGTGATATTTGAAGCTGAGGGACTCGTATCCCCTGAAACCAAGCAGTTCACAGGAAAATAAATGAGATTCTCTCCCTTAGAAGACTGAGCAAGAAGCAGGCTGGGCCCCAGGTTATGTTCTTCTTAATTAAATTTTCACTCTCAGAGAAACGTGGCCGTTAAACTCTTGGTGGCCCTTTATCATAGTATTGTTTTGTTAGAATAGTTCTGCATCCTTTTAATCAGTTTATCAAATCAAAACCCTGTTAACCAACTTTTTAAAAAGCATGCCTAATTGGGTAACCCTGTCCTCTCCCCCCCAAAAAACTAAATTTTCGATATTATCACAAAGCTTGCCGATAAAATCAATGTGAAAAAATGAGACACTTGTAAGATGTTCTCACAAATACGTCACCCTGTCTAAAAAGACACCTAAAGTGTGTTTTTTCTTCAAACACTTCTTGCAGTGTGCAAATGTATGCAAATGGAACAATCAGGGGATTGAAACAAATTTGATAAATCAGCTAAGACTGCATTTTAATAGAGTGGTAACATCTTTTACAGTTCCTATACTGAAAGGAAGCATGCCCCTAGATACAGGGAATTTGGCTCATTTTTATTTGACCCCATCATATGATAGTTTTGGAACATAATCCTGCTGTTTATTTTGATACTTAAAAGTGGCAGAATTTTTTGTGCTGCGTAGGTAATCTGGAATCAAAAAGGAGAAGCCACCTGTGTAAACGATAGACGGTGCAATGAAAGATTATTTGAGGAAGATTATGGAGAGGTTGAGTATTAAAAACAATAGAGGAGGTCAGCCTGCAGTATCCCCTTCCTGGATGCAAACCTTAACATGGTCAGTGGGTTGGAGTGTTTCAGCGAAATGGAGGGCGATGCTGTCAGGAGGCCTGTGAGACCAGCAAGGATCCTTTCAGCCTCGAGAGCGGGCTTTCCACCTCTCTGAGAACGCTGGCCAGATTCCCTACCTGCATCTCACCTGTGGACTGGGGCGTTGGCAGGGCTGAGGCCGACAACATCCTCAAAGCTCCAGGAGT